GTGCGCGGTCGGAGAGCGGTGCTCCCCGGGGGCCGGTTTCTCTGTGAAACCGCTCCAGAAGGACGGACGGGGAGGGTCCCTTTACCGGAAGGCTTAAGGCTGTAAAGGTGTCCTAGCGATAAAAGATGTGGTTTCGTCTAGAAATGCGTTGAAGCGGAATAACTTAATTCATCCGGCTAACGCTTCCCTCCCGCCCCCAATTGTTTGCTGAAAAGTACCGTATAAACAAGAGCTGGATTTTTTTTTTTTTTTTCTCGTTGTGTGCAGTGAACCACTTTTGCAGGATGAGCACTGTGACTGAAGAAGTTAAGCCAGAAGATGGCAAACCGGAATCTGAAAAAAAAATATTTTATTGTGAAGTGAGTGCGTTTCTTGGTGGCTTTTCAGACTGTATGCTAAAATGGAGGCCTAAGGTATTAAAGACCATGCTCTTAGAAATGCAGACCTAACCTAGATGTCGTGTGGCAAACTTGTAAGTGAGAGAAGCTGTTAATGTGGAGAATAACCTGGTCAGTCTCTGGAAGAGCTACTTGTCTTAGGATTTGGTGAATTCAGTTTGTTCTTGAGCAGTCACAGGTGCAATATAATGGTCTGTAATTGTAGCCCTTCAAATCTCTGTTGTTAAGTATTTCTCGTAGGTGACTGTAAAGGCTCCTTTATCTGTAGAGGCTACAACTCTGGGCCAGAACATGTTAAATTTGTCAATCACAGCTGTTCTAGCAGTGACTATTTTTCTGGTGCATTAAACTTCTGGGCCAGTATGTCAAGAGAATAGACGGTATCAGCATATATATTAGTAGTTGTTTTTTTTTTTTTTTTTTTTGTTAAAAAAAGAAATACAAGAAATAATTGTGGATCTGCATTGTCTTACATCAGTTATTGTAATGGTATAATGTGTGTCTGTGGATCTTAATGAAATGCAGATGTCTTCCTCCATTGTTTTTCTGGTCCCTTTGATGTAACAATGAACGGAGTTGCAGTTATTCTAGGGCATAATTTTGTGTCCCTTCCTTTTTAGTCACTGTATGCTCATCCCTTTTTGTTGGCTTTACAGCCTGGAGAAGTTTAGAAAACTAAGAATCCAGAAAGTAGTGGTAGGAGGGAAGGGGGATGCTCTTAAAAGAATCGTACCACCTGGTATATTTAAATGTGTATTTAAGTATCGTTTGAACAGGTTTGCACGCTATTTCTCATCACTTTAGTGGTATGCTGCTCTCTTAAATGTCACGCAAATTGTACTGTTTAAGCCAAAGAAGATCTTGTGAATTATGCTGTAGGAAGGGATGTGTTTCCAGTTTTTATAACTTAGTAACTACAGAATATCCGTAGCATAACTGAAGATGTGCTTTCGATTTATCTTTTTAGGTTTGTAAAGTACCATGTATGAGTTCTATAAGTCTTCAGTCACACTATCGTGGTGCAAAGCATAGAAAGGTAATCTTTTTCCATATTAAGTGTATATGCAAATTTAATCATAAATCTGGGATTCTTGTAAAATTCTGTAATTTATTTCACATGGCTTCAAGTGCTTATCTAACTCATTGGTATATCTAGAACAGTAATTTGCTTGAAAAATCCCGAGAAAAAGGTGGTAATCTTACAAGGGCATGTAACTTGAAACATCAACTGTACCTAGAGGTAAATGTGTGTTAATTGCGAAATTAACATTTGAATTGTATGGAAGTTGCAGATGGTGAAAGAATGCAAATGGTTTTTTTTTTGGGTGGAGTTGGCAAAAGTACTGCTCTGTTTTCCAGTTCTACGTAACTTACCTGTACTTTGAATAAAACTAGCTTGCTTGTTATCTTGATAGTAACATCAACTCGGGTTTCCTGCAGGTGTTACATAGGCTTAACCACTAAGTCTTGTGGTTCTGTTTGTTTGAAGCATCTCAGTAGCAACTTCCTGGTTTACTGCCTTTGCTTGTTTTGTGCTTAAAGTATTAGGCAGCGTTCTGTTAGGCTGTATTTAGAGGTGAGGCTTTTATAAGCCTTGTTTGACTGAACTTTTGACTGTTGATTGGCTGATAATTAGGTTTTGTTTAAAATTCCACATTTTCAGTCTATGAAGTTGAGACCTACTCAGTTATCTGTTCTTTCCTCTGTTACTTAAGATTGCTGTCATCAGTGCCACGACAATACAATCTGAAGTGCCTGCTTTAATGTTTTCTTAATGACATCTTACTCTTCCTGGAACACTAAAGACTAACTGCAATACTACCTTTCTCAAGTGTTTCTGTGCCCTTTTTCTTTCAGTTGTAGGTGAGGGGCATCTCCCCACCTTTTAGTTTTCAAGACAGATTAATAGTATTTTGTTACTTATTTGCTGATCACTTTAATAGCATCGACTCTTACTTGAGTCAGTGGCTCCACTTTCTCAAAATGACTTTTTTTTCCTCAGGATTCAGTCTTCTTGGTCCTTGTTGATCCAGAAGAAGTGTACAGTACTATAGTATTTTTCATGTTTCTCCCTTTTAAAGTGGAAAAACTAGTGATTTTTTTTTCTTAGAAAAATCTGTGTGTCGCTTTCCTTCTGTTTCACTCTTTGAAATTAGTGTATGCTAGGCTACATCTGTCAAACTTCTATTGAGTTAATGAAGGACTGCAAACTGATAGTGAACAATAATCAGGCAGGTGAAAACTTGTTAGATGTTAAATGTTAGTGCTGGTGTGTGGAGTTCTGGTAAGTCACATGAGTGCATTTCTGTGGGAATAACTCCCAAGATTGTGTCGTCATTGTCTTCAGTTACTTCTAATTCCTCACTTTAAATTATGAAATCTGTTGTATGTTTTGGCAGAAGACCACAATGCACTGAGTTGTCACAAGAAGTTTTTGTATCACCAAGTTTGAAGTAACCTTAAAAGTCCTGAGCTTATGTTCCTTTTTGATACAGGCTGGGTGTTGATAGTCAATAGCTCTTAGTTTGTTCCTTACTAGAGGAGTTCCTATTCAAAATAATACCAAAGAGTGTCCTGGCAACAAAACAAAACGAAGAGGAGATGGTAGTTCTTTACCTAAATTGCAACACTGGGCAACCTGCTACCCACTTTTTATTACTTTAGTCAGGTGACTTTTTTCCTTTCAGCTACCCATTTGTGTTTAAAATGTCATTGGTAAGGACACTTTGTGCTTGTCCTTCACTAGAGGAAGTTTCAAAACCACACGAAATAACCCTTCCTCAGGAGAAGGGCAGTCACTGGGAAAACTCCAAGAAACAAATGTGAATGCTTGCTATGTGTGTGAAATGATTCTCACTTTATTGGCCTGTGTTTCCCATAGCTATTCAAAGTTAAATGCCTTATTTTGATTAGCTGTGCTAGTAAAGCTTGACTGTCTGATGGATTTGTAGGAATACTTCAGCTGACTTTGTGTAGATTGTTATTGTATTTTTTTTTTGGTCACCTGGGTAGTTTGCTTATTCTGGATTTTGGATAGGTACATGAGATATTTATCTAGGTTACTTCTGCATACCTTTGTTTCTACTTCAGATGTCGATTGGTTTGCTCATGTCAGTACTATTGACTCCTAAACATAGCATCAGAATGCATAATTTATTTGAAAAAGACCATTCCCAAACATCTAAGCATACTTCTTAGATAAATTGTATCGAATGCATTGCTTTCATAAAACTAGGGAGATTTTTATTAGTGACCTATGTATAACCAAAGAATTAAGACTTTTTTTTCCAATAAATCTGATTCATATGTGCTACGCTTCTCAGACTCTAGGGATATTGCTTTTGATGAGTTAGAGATTTTTAGGGTGTACTTCCTGTAGTGATTCTCGGTCTGTGTGTTTGAACTGGCAGTGCCTAAATCATTTGCTGCTGGAGAGGAAAATGTAAATAATGCCTGTCTCTTCATGGCAGCTTAGGCAGACTATCCAGATTTATTATAAATTGGATAAAAGTTTTTCCCAGAGTATCTTGTTGCTTCTCAAACTAAAAGAGACTAAGTCTATACCTAAAGCCTTGTGGAATTCCATTGACTGTGTTGGAGGCTAATAATTTGGTTCATTAAGCTGAGTCTACATACCTACAAGAAGGTGTGTACTGAATTGTTTTATTTGTATTTGTATATTTGCAGTCTTAATGCTCTGTAACCCCCTGGATTGATGTGTTATTGATTTCAGGGGATAGAAATAGACTGAATGACATTGCATCATAAAATAGAAGTAATTAAGAAATATTTCAAGCAAATGATTAGCCAGTGCAATGACTTTCTTCCTAGCTTGTTACTAGATTAGTTTTTGTCTATTTGAAGCCTTTTCCATTTGCACTTTGAAATTTATGTGAACATTTTTTTCTGAACAAGTCTCAGGGGTAGTTGCTCTAGTGAAATAATAGATGATCAGTTACCCAATTAGATGAAATTGTTGCCACTTGCATTCTGTGATATAGGAAACTTAAACATAGAAGTTCTGGGGCCTTTAAATGCTTAATTTACAAAATACTAGGTAATATTTTAATTCTATATGGTGTAGCTCTTTAGAGTTCTTTTAGTTTCTATCCCCGAGAGTTGATTCTTTGTTGTGCCAAGGGTTTGTATTTCTCACTGACTTCAGCATTCATGTTATGATGCTTTCTGTGCCCTTGAACTGGAGTTTGAGTAATAAGCAGAATACGCATCTGATTTTTTTCTAGTTCATGAGGCCAAACCCCTGTAAAAAGTGCTGATGGACAAAATATTGTGTGGCTGGAATGACCACAGTACAAGGCTGTGTATATCTTGTGCATTGAGTGCCTTATGACCTTTGCATAGTTCCACACTGATGAGTTTTGTGACTTTTGTTGCTGAATAGGTATTGATGGGGGTGGGAAATGACTTGGGCAAAATGGCATTCATACATGTGCATGTAGTTCTTAGCTCTTTGGAAGCTGGAATTGGCTTGTATTATATACTTTAAAAAAGTAGTTCAATGTTACTTTTAGCTGTTACGGTAAAATGGTTAGAAAAGAATCTTTACTAATGCTTTTCACTGATCCAAATCTGAAAGAGCAATGGGGGATATACTGCGTGGAAGGTGGGGGTGTGGTTTTTGGGGTTTTTTTGGTAGCTGAGTAAAAAGCTAGGCTCTTCTGGGGGAGCAGTTTGCAGACAAAATATACCTGCTATGCAAATACCTGGAATACGATGGTGTGTGATATATTTTATTCTGTTTTTGCCAATATGTGTTAGCGTTAGTGCTGAGTTTGCTAAAGAGGAAATTGTAGAGTCTTTTTTTCCATGTGTTTTAAACAGCCCTTTGCAGATGTATGACACCAGCAGAAGAGTGTTGCCTCTTCTGTGAACTGTATTTGGAGCACAGGTGAAGATTGTTCTGGTTCTATCAAGGATTCAAGACTCCCCCCTTCATATCTGGGGATAGATAGGATGGAAATGCCTACTGTGTTCCAAAAGGAGAAGAATCTGTGTTTAGGACTCTGCAACTTCATTAAAAACAAGGAATGTTCAGATCTGTGAAGAGAGTTGTTAGTTTTTGTCTTCACCATTTCGGTGTTCTCATTTCTGCTATACCTCTTGCCCCTGGCTGTCGTGCATCAGAACCTGTGTTTGAAAATACCTGATGTACAGGAAACCTTGCTGTCTTTTTCTGTGGCATTAAAATCAACAATGCTGGAAAAGCATTTTAATTGGACATCTTTGTGTTGATACTTGGAATTGTAACAGCTAAGTTTTGGTTACAGGAAAATTGCTTTGCTGTCATAAATGTTTATGTTTCTCTCAAGACGTATGCTGTTATGTTCTGCAGCTTATTTTTGTGATTAGAGAGGCTTAAACTGTAGAGCTTTTCTTTTGCAAAACTTGATTTGCTTAGTATAAGCTTGAAGTGTTAAAATAGAATTTCTGTGTATGGGCTGCTAACATCTAGCTGGTATGATTTCAAGAGTATATCTATTTAGGAACAGGTAATTTATGTTTACATAATACTTAACTGTGCATGTGAATCTGTTAGATAACCTGTAAACTTGAACTGTGTGGAAAACTGATTTATGCAGTAGCTCTTGCAGATTACAGTGTGTATGGGAGGTTTGAACCCTAAACAGCAGTTTTTGAGTTTTGGCTTCTCAAAGTTAGACACTTTTGTTAAAAGTTACTCTAACTTTTCATAGTCTTAGCTCAAAAACAGCTGTTGCAACTTGCTTGCAACACCTGACCCAGGACAGAGAATAAGTTTCTTACCTAATGTGTGAGAATCTTCATTCCGGATGTAGCTTTTTATTTATTTTTTTTTTAAGAAACCTCAAGAAGGGTCACCAGTAAAATGGACCCATTAGCTTCAGTTCTGGAACTCCATTTCTAATATTAACAAATGCAGTAATCCAAGTGCAATCAAAGTCAAAGCTGATGGTCTGAAAATGCTCGGGAAGAAATCTCTTTGAGCAGCAGCTCACAGTTGCTATTGTTTGCTATGCTTGTTGGAAAAGTTAGATATTAGCAGCTGTTTATTGTAAACCTGTAGAATGACAAGTAACAAAGACTTGTGTCAGCAAGGAGAGACTGGGTCTGTAGTCTAAGCTTATGAAATCTGTCTGAGTTCATACACCACCACCCACTGTCTGTGGCGATACTGGGACTTGGGTAACTTCCTCATTTATGGCTACTGTGAAGGAACAGCTATTTGGCTTCTTAATTAACTGTTTTGTCAGTCTTGCTTCCTACTGAAATGTCACATCGATGTGCAGCATCTCTTCCATGCCACTGAACACTGAAAATACAGCTCCATGGACTGTTCTGGGCAGACAGCTGCTTTACTAGCAGAATGATCACGCTTACTATTTCATTCTTGTAAATGGCAAGTTTATGTTTATTTGCCAGAAAGTTCTCAAAATGAGTCAGGATCATTTCAGCCATGTTCTGAAATGGAAATTTAAGTTCTTCTTTTCCTTGGATTCTGCCAAAAAGTGATCTGATCTGGATTCAGCTCATGAAAGCCACTTTCCCTGTTCTTCATGACATAAATGAACTTTCAGGAGATTTGGCTAGCTTTAAAGTTTAGCCAAATCCGCTCAAAATGGTGGGGGAGCTGCTTTTTATTAGTTTGTTTTTTCCTTTTGGGGCGAGTTTTCTTTTTCTTTTTTGTTGGAACTACAACTTCTGGAAACTTAGGTGCTGTAATCATGCAGAACTCAAGGTTTTGTCTGGCATCCTTGAGATGTTGTGTTTCAAGCCATAGTCATCTCTTAAAATTTTATTAATAACAGGGCTTTCTTGAAATTAACCTTGTATTAACTGTAAGTACGCTTTTGTCAGTACTTCCAGCTTTTGCAGAAAATCATAAAGGCTGTAATTTTTCCTATTTGATAATGGAAACTTTGGCCTGTAATGCAATTCATCTGCAAAGGCTTCTTGGGAAGTACAGGGTTTTTCCTTCAAATGGTGCAGCACATTAATTTCTTTTTCTTATTTTATTTTGGGATGACTTGCATCTTCATAATTAAAGAAAGAGAAAGCCCTGAGACCCAAGACTGTCTATTGTAAGTATAACACTTTTTTCTTTCCAGCCTCCTAGGATAGATACTGCTTGGGGATTTTAATGTTTGTTGCTTTTCTAGTAGTTCAGGTATTTGCATTTGCCAGATTTATGTGTCTATAACTGTCTTTCTCTTTATATGCTGAACATTCTTCCGAGATTTCTATCTAGTGAACTGCTGAGCTAAGAAATATTTTAGAACATGAAACCTTAATTATACCTTTCCACATCGAAATATTTGTATATCTATTTAGTAGAGGGATGGATAGTCAGTATTTTAGTTTCTTACCTTCCCTGGCTAAAACATTTCCCACTTATCTGTCAGCTTTATACACTCACTACTAAGCTTCAGGCAGTATGTGAAGAAGCTAAATCAGCAGGCGAACAGAGCGCTGTTGCAGATGCAGCTCTACCAGTGCTGGAGTCGCCTAGCTGCATCACAAGAATGTTCTGCCTTTCTTGTAATGGAGTAGCAAAGACCTATTCAGGGTACCTCAGTTGTTGGGGTATCTCTTCCCCCTGAAACTGAGAATGTGAATCCAGACTGTCATATGTCAATGAAAATAAGAGTTGTGGTGAAAGGTTGAAAACATGGGATATAACTAGCTCACAGCGGAAATGGAAATCTTGTAAAGGCACTGATGATGATGTACAAGATTTTTAAAGTACAGGAACCAGAGAATGTTGGCAGATAGGGGAATACTGATAAAAATCAATGAGAAGATTAAAAACCAAAATGGTTATACAGTCAGTCGTCACAAGACATAAGGCTTTCACTTCTACTTTATCTTCTTAGTCTGTTCTCCTAAGAAACAAGGCTTACATTCTGGCTTTGTCATCTGTTCCTCAGTATCTTTTGAACCTCTCAGCCTTTTTGAACCAAGTTGATCAAGGGTTCCTGAAAATACAACTGCACAGAGGAGAGTGATGGTGTCAGTACTCTACTGCGGGAAGTGCTGCAGGCTGAGCTCAACGCATCCTGGACGCTGAAGACTCAGCACAAGAGAAACATTTAGAAAAGCACTGGTCAGAGACCATTTTCTAAGAGACTGGGCTTCATTAGCCACTCTGTGATTGGGAGTTGACAAGAGAATATCAGTATAAGACATATCATTCAAGTGTGCAAACAGTTACGAGGCAAAATGTCTCAGCAGACACGAGTAGTGCAGATCTTCTCTGTTTAAAAATACTGGTGATGAAGCTCTTGACAATTTCTACAAAAGTTCTGAAAACATATAGGTATCCTCAAAAACCAATGGATTTGAGCAGTCCAAAACTGTGTTTATACCTTGGCAACAACAACAGATTTGTTTGGCTATGGGCTAGTGTTTTTAGTGGAAAACAATTTCTAGAGACTTCCTTGTATTTCTCATCAGAAGTGGTCATGAAAAGTAATACTCGTTAACTGAAGAGGATCTTGCTTCAGGACCATAAAATCTTGTTTTGGAGGAGTAATGTAAAGGATGCATGGGACAAAGTGAGACTTCAGTAAGAGGACAGAAGGTGAGGCAGCAAGACTGTAAAAAGAGTGGTGGAATACAGGAGCTGGTTGCAAAGACCTGTGCCTTTAGAAAATGGAACTGCTTAATATACTGCAAGCTCAGCATTCCACGGAGAATTCAGGTTAAGAACGTATGCTTGTTATAAACACCGCATCTCTGGCAATGTCACAGGTTAGAATCCTTCAACTGTGATCTGTCTTACAGAATGAGAGGAGATGTTAAAATATCTGATCATTAAAGTGAAGAATCTAGACGTGAAACTGGTAAACAGAGCTAACTCCTGGAGGAATCCCACCATCACAGGATACCACATGTCAGAAGCATCACAAGATGTGCTTTAATTCGGAAAGTTCTATGCCTCAGTAGTCATTTTTAATCAACCAACATCTCTTACTTCTAATATTAAATGATTATTCATACTATCGATGTCTCCTTTATACTAATTTATCCATATTGCATTCTGCTTCACTGAAGATCCAGGTGTGGGAGGGCAATTTGTGAGCCACTGTTTGGGTTTATTTGTCAAGGCTGAAATTTGGCCTGATGAAGCTTATTTGTATGTTTTAGTCGTCTGGTTGTTTTTTGGTTTTTTTTTTTTTTTTAAACAGGTAGAGAATCTGGCCACCTGAGTAACTTTTCAGTGATGGCAATTTAGATTTCATTTTGAGGACTGCAATGCAGAATTACATATTCAATATATATGCATAACTTCTCAGAATTCTCACATGGACATATTACCAATTACACAAATAACTCTCCCTCAACAGCCAGTGGGTCTAGGAAATTCATTGTACTCTGTCACTGAGATACAGGAATAAATTCTGAATTTGCTTGGCTTTTGTTTTTTCATTTTAAATAGTTGATTTTTTTCTACGGTTTGCAGATATATATATATATAGTAAGCATGAACAAAAATTATACTGCATTTATGGAGTTAAGTAGTGAAGTCTTGTGAATAAGCGTGGCAAGCATGGATATTCTTAAATTAGGTGCACTAGGTCAAGTATGAGTCTGGTACTACTTCAGGATATAAATTAATGAGATGCTCCTGTTATTGCTGTTTGATCTGCAATCTTATTCTAATGTTCATGTTGTCAAATACTCCAGTGAGACTGAAATGTGGCAGCATATTCACAGAGCTGGAGTACAAAGAGCCAGGAACAAAATTGTATGGATGTTGTCAAAGTGAAGGATGAGTTTTCTTGGAAATCACTTGGGACAAAACCTGACAAGTATCTGAAATGTACACTGTTTAAGAAGAACAGGTTTCAAGAAGAACTCTCTTTCAGGAAGAACTTCAGAAGATGAGGTTTGACATATTTAAAATGTTTTGTATTAATGTCTGCAATTTCTTCTTTGCTGCAGAGTTAAAAAAAAAAAAAGTTCCGTTGTCAGTAGGGAGAACACAACCAATGCTGCTATCACTTGTAAATCAGATTTTAAAAAGACAAATTATTTGGATTCTGAGTGTTTTCAAATGGGACATGCCATGTACGGTATCCTCTCTGAACTCATCAAAAGTAACTGTTCATAATCCAGAAGTATGAGTGTGAGTAACCTTACTGTTTAATTGCACTGTCTTGTTGACCATTAAGTCAGTTAAGTGAGGAAATGCATCTGTTTCCAGATGATTGTGTTTGGAGGATTACCATTTTCTCTGTTATTTCTGTGGTAATGAGAGAATTGGGTATTTGGGGTGGGTTTGTGGGGGGTTCTTTGTTTGGCTTTTTTTTTTTGCCTGTTCAGAGGAGGGCAGCTTAATGGAAGTTGTGGGAAGAGAAGATGCTGATGTTCTAGGACTTTACTAAGAGTTAAATCAAAGCTCAGTTAAATACATGATTATGTATATTACATATTAAGTACATAACTTCAGTCGTGATTTCTTTGTACAATGATATAAACAGACAGATGGAAGACTTCTTTCAGCTCTAGCTGAGGCAGTTGCACATATGTGTTCAGGGATAAGGAGGGGAGGAGACTGAACTTTGCTTTCTTTCCTGGGACCTTTTGATCAAAGCAGGCAGAAGTTTGGAAAAGTTTTTGCTTTGAGTAAGAGGCATTAAATGATGAGGGAATGCCAATATATACGTTAAGCAAATGTTCCCTGGGCAGTAGCAAAATCCAGTGGTTTACTATGACAACAAGGCAGCAGAGACTAGAGTACAAGCTGTATTAAAGCCATTTCTGGGCTGTCTGGCTTTATTGGTGAAATTTATTTGGCACAAAGAAGAGTGAATTAAGGGATTTTTTTTTTTGTGCAGCTTGTGGATTTTTTTTCTTGCATTACAGGAAGATGCAGAGTTAGCTTGCAGTACTTCTTTTAAAATGATACAAATGAAAAGTATTGAAAAGTCTAATAAGGGATTTTGGTAGGTGTTTAGTTGCTGGATCTAGCAACCTGCATCTACATTCTTCAACATAAAACCTTTAAGTAGCACCATGAGTAAAGAAAGCTACATTATGGTCATTCTGTAAAGCACGGAATCAAGGGGAAGAATCAGATCTGAAGATAAGCTGCATTTATTTAACAGCACTGGCTACAAGTTCTTCCTTCGGTGAAAGCACAAATGTCATGTATTCTGCCTTGGGTTCACCAATAAAAACCTTATCAGTATCCTGATCAGCATTTCAACTTTATGATATAAGATAAATCTATTTATTTTTAACATGTTCTCCATGCTCAGTGTCTGTGAAGCATTGATTAGTACACATAAGGTTTTGGGGTGTAAAACTACTGCTACATTTTTCAAAGAAAGGAAACCTGGAAGTTCTTTATCAAGTCATGGACTAGAAGAGAAAATGTTTCAGAAACCATAATAATAGAAGTACTAAGGTTGAACACTACTCCAACTCCCTTACCGCCTCTCTTGGGGAGTTCCCCCATACAATGGAATATGCAGTGTTTGTGCACTTCAGCTCTTGTATTCAAAACTGCAATGTTGAGTCCAATACCTCTTTGCCACTGAGTAACTGAGTTGACAAGGTTTGAAACTGACCTTACATTTTGAAATGTAGCTGTTTTACTTCTGGCAGTCATTAGGAAGGTGTGTGCATTACAAATACATATATAGATGTAAAAGATGGAGAACAAAGAAACATGTTCAGCACCATGTCGTTGAATATTGAAAGGAAAAGGATTTTTTGTGTTCATACAGATAGCTAGATGTGGAAAATATCCCTTACTAAATAAAAAACATCAGTTGGAAGGCATTTCCTGTAGCTGATAGGTGACTTCCTGATTGAAGCAGGACTACTGCCAGTGCTGGATTATCACTTGCTTACTGAAGCCTTGAACCATCTCCAAGGGCAGAGTCTGCTACCTGTGTTTAATCCTAACATCTAACCCGTGCCTCCTAAGCAACTGTTTCTGGCTGTTACTTGTTATGCTGCTGTTGTCACATCCCTAAAGGGTTTGACTCATCTTTGTAGCTGCGGTTCAGGTATCCATGCTATTAGATATCTCTTAACTTAGCCTGGTAAAGCAGAGGCTAAGTCCAGCTCCCAAACCTGTTCTCATAAGTTATTTGCCCTGGGTTGTTTGTCTGGGTAGCCCTTCTGCTGGACCCTCTCTGGTTTCTTCACATCCCACTTGAACTGGAGAAGAATGGAACTAGACAGCCTCTCAAGTCCCGAATAATGGAGGATAAGATATTCTGAAGTATGCTGCCTGTGCAGTATTTCAATATGGGGTTTGCCTAGTTTATGGGAGACATAATTTTGGCCAATATTCACCTTGGCATTCATTGTAACTCTGAGGTATTTCTTGACAGTGTAGCTGCTCAGTCAGCCAGATCCCAGCCTGTGCTCATGAATGGGATTATTTCAGCTGCAGTACCCTCTACTTCTTATTCTGTTCCTTAAGGTTTCTTTAATCCTTAATGTTCCCAAGGTCTTGCCCAACTGAAGCTGTAGCATTGTATCCTGTAAATTTACTATTGTCTGTGAATTTGCTGAGGGTGTTCTATGTACCCTCAGCCAGGTTATTAATGATTTTATTAATTGTTGTGGACTGTGGAATCAGTCTTTGGGGTACTCTGCTGCTTACTGAACATCAAGGCTGTTGGGGGCTGGGCTGTCGATCGTTGCCCTTTGTCCAGTTGATTTTCAGATTGTTGGTCAGTCTGATAAGCTTTAAGGGAAAAATACTGTTGTGTTTTGGTAACTTATATTGTTAATAGCATTGCAAAGCCATGTGGCTAGTAAATGTTAGCCTGGAAACCTGCTGTTGCTGAATGGAAGATTGTCTTCAACATCATAATTGCTTTTATGAAAATTCTGCAGGCAGCAGTGATAATATCTGCTATATCAAAACCCCAAACTGCTACCTTTTGTGATAGTAGCAGCTGCAACTTGATTTTTAACTTGACCATACTTGTAAACTTCAACCATGTTAAAGCAGACTGCACTATGAACTGCTTCTGGCACAATTCTCTGCAAATACAATTTGTTCCTAGAAGTAAACAGAAAATAAAGCACTAAAAATCTTATTTCACAGGTGCCTATTAGTGCCATGTAGCATTTGGCCATGTCAGTCTGCAGATGCTGGACATGGAATCTGACTTGGGCTTCAGGCACTAAACAACTCTGGAATTAAGTAATTTTTGTACTTGCAGAGTACTTGGGAGGTCATCTTTTGTTCATGCTACTGGAGACTTTGAAGCTTTTTACTGAAAAGGATGGTAATTTATTGTAAGAAATCAAGGGGGAGATGCTTTCTCATACCTCTCCTTTGTGTTAATATTACAGAGTTGTTTGCAGAATGTTTAGAACTCTGATATGAGTTACAGCTTTGATACGTATCTCTTAGCTGCCTGTCTTGTGCAGGAGGAGGAGAAAACCACTGATGTATACAACACATTTGCCATGACTATGGAAAACTTCTTCACTTCAAAAACAGGAATTACATGGGGAAATACATAGGTTTAAGTTAAACTTTCACTTTTTTTAGTAAATGAGTACTAGTGTGTCATCTTGTTTTAATCTTGAATGCTGCAACTTAAAAAATACTGAGAACATCATTAAAGTGCACTTGTGTGTCTGTGTCTATGGATTTGAGGGAAGAAGGGTGCAAGGGAAAGAAGTTCCAATGGAAGGGAGTGGAAGTACCTTTACAAAATCATGTCTAAAAGCTCACTCAGAAATTCGGAGTGATCAAAACTATATATACAGAAGCCTATGTAAAAGAAGATACTAGTCTGTATGCAGTTTAATGGTTTTATGAATTGTTTCTGGGACTGTGTTCAGGCTCTAAATGTTTAGACCAGAAGTTTTCTGTTGGGTACCTGTAAGTAACACAGATTGACTGTCATGCACCATACTGAATAGTTAAAATCATTAAAATAACTAGGCAGTATGAAAATCACTTAAAAATCAAATAAAAATTGAATATGCTTCTGTGACGTTCATGTGTTCGGTGTATTGTGTTGGTGGGGAAGGGGAGTGGAAATGAAGACTTTCTTACTTAGAGCAGTAAAGTTACAAAAGGAAAGTGTAGCAAGATGGAATACTGCTATTACTGAGCCTATATTAAACTAAAATGAAGATAACTGTTCAATTCTCTAACTTGTTTGGATGATCTACTAGGTATTTAATAAAAGCAAGTGAGAAGTAGTAGTCTGACTGTCAAACTGTTATTCTAGGTCCTCCAGCTCCAGTCCGAACTCCGATGAAGTATGAAACACAGAGACCAGGTAGCTGAATATAAATGAGCTAATGTCCTTTTTCAGATGCAACTTTGGAATCAGTGGTTTTGTTTTAATGATGCCTAAGTCAGGTGGTTGATTGTTGTTTAGGAAAAAGCAATGCAAGTTGCCAAACATTTAAACCATTGCTTTTCTTTTGTCCACTGGTTAATTTATGTAAGAAAAGATCATAGGAGATTGAAGTTACGAGTATTTTCACAGAAAGACTGTCAAACTTGGGACACTATAGTTTCTTTCTTCCTGATTATCTGACAGCATCTGATATTAATTAATCTAGCTAATGTTCTTTTAGCTGGTGAAGTCTTCAACAGAAAATTTTGCAGCACGCACATGTGTACACGTTGGATACAGTGAAAGTTTGACAAAACAAAAGCATATAAACCAAGAACAGTATGAGTTGTTTATTATCAAGATGATACCAAGACAAGAATATTTAGTTGTGTGTTAGGAAGCAAGAAGAAAACGGCCATAACCTTATAGGGAGCTTTAACTTCCTTCTGTGTGGATCTTCCCATATTAAGCCCAAAAGATCACATGCCTATCACTGTCAGCTTGGCAACAACCAGCTCACGCTGAGCATGACTGCACAGTTATGCAAATGCATAAGAACTGCATAATACATTTAAGTGTTCGTAAAAATCTGTCTATGGAGACTCATTATGTGGCACCAACTTGTTACTGTCACACTGCACTACTGCTGCATGTCACCTCAGACAGAAAAAACAAAGCAACAAAGTTTTTAACAAGACTGGCATTTTGGTGGGAGTGGGCCACACTGTTCCTGTGGCAGGAGGTGTCCCATCAGGTATTTTTGCCACAGTTAAATTGCAAGAGGTTTTCCATATGAATTAATGCTGGAGCTTTTTGAAATTTTTATTTTTTATGTGCAGCCCTGGAATTTGACTTGATGGCAGCACACCATGTTACTAACGGAATGGATATTTAAGAACAAGCACAGAATTCCCGATCCTGATTTTTGTTTGTTTTTTTTTTTAAACTAAACTTGGCATCCTAGTGGGAAAGAATAGAGTAACATACTGTTCAGTGCTTGTGGTATTTCTACTTGTTTGCTCCAATTTGAAGAAACTAGCAGTGCTCATGACTTACGAAATTAATCAGTCAGTTAAAATACAGCTGCATGTAATTAGGAAGATGCATTCTATTTCTGCACATTTTTTTCTTGTATTACAAATATGTATTTTAGCACTTCAGCATGCTCTTTTATAATGGCCAACATGTGAATACACTTAATGCCTCTCAGATTGTTTTGCAGATACATTTAGCTGAACTCTGCTGGTGCTCCAAGTTGACCAGGAATGCTTTAAATGTGTTTTAGGCAGTGCAAAACCTAACCTATTAAACATCATTGAGGAGTGAGATACATCCCTCGTTGAAACACTGCTAGTTCAGGCTCGGGAACGTACTACCTGTGGTTGTGCAGCTTCTGGTCTGCCTGGAGTACAAGAAACATTTGCTATATTAGTGGCGGTTATGTGTTCTTTATTATTAAGACAATATGATTCTTGAACTTCAGACTCCAAACAAGCAGTCTCAGTGTGCTATATGAGTATTAGGGTTTTAGAGGAAGAAGGGGATTGGTGGCTTGGCTTTTTTTTTTCTTTTTTTTTCCTTTTTTTTTTTTTTTTTTTTTTTTTTTTTTTTTTTTTTAAATGAGAACTGACATGGTCTGGGGCATGCTATGAATGTCAACTTGGATCTTTCCTCAGTAAATTTGATTGTGTTAGAAGGTCTGTTTTGCTTATTTGGTTCTCTCCTTGAAGACATTAATTCCTTGTGTGTAAAATTGTTATTGAAAACAGAGCGTTGGAGTCTTTTTGTGAGTGACTGAGATCTTGCCAATTTTTCCTTATGCCTTTCAGAGTGAAAATTCATTTTGTCCCCCTTAAGTCTCCATTAGAAACTACTTTTAGATCATAGAAATTATGTGCAAATGTCTAATGTGTAATATTTCTTTATGTGTGTATTTTTTACTTTAGTGAAGAGAGGACTCACAAAGGACATAACCTGTCTTAAGGATTTCATGAATGATCCCAAAAGAGAAGAACCTCTAGTTGGTATGTTTTTTGTTTTCTAAATGGTATGTCTTTTGAATTTGTGACTAAATGGCTTTTGCTTTGATATAAAAGGTGGAATTTTAGATATGGTTTCATTTTCTGTAAATGCATTAAATAATTTATAGGATATGCCTTTTAAAGGTTAGCTTATTAGACCAAAGGCCACCTCTTTAAAACAACTTAATTGTTAGACAACTTGTTCCCGAAGGAACCGTCTTAGTAAAGAAGCTTTTCCTGGATCACAGAATGGTTGAGGTTGGTAGAGACCTCTGGAGGTTATCTGGTCTTAAGCCCCTGCTGAAGCAGGGTCACCCAGAGCAGGTTGCCCAGGACCACATCCAGGGGTCTTTTGAATATCTCCAAGGTGGGAGACTCCACCACCGCTCAGGGAAACCCATGCCAGTGCTCAGTCACCCACTCAGTCGAAGTATTTCCTGATGTTCAGACAGCATCTCCTGTGTTTCAGTTTATACCCATTGCCTCTTGTCCTGTCACCACTGAAAAGAGCCTGGCTGCATCTTCTTTGCACTCTCCCTTCAGGTATTTACATACATTGATGTGATGCCCCCTTAGCCTTCTCTTCTCCATGCCGAACAGTCCCAGCTCTCTCAGTCTTTCCTCATAGGAGAGATGCTCCAGTGCCTTCATCATCTTCATGGCCCTTCATTTGTCCATGTCTCTTGTACTGGGAAGCCTGGAGCTGGACACAGTGCTCCAGGCATGGCCCTACTGGTGCTGAATAGAGAGGGTGGATTGTCTTCTTCAATCTGCTGACAACATTCCTCCTTGTGCAGCCCAGGAAACCATTAGCTTTCTTGGCCACAGCGCCCATTGCTAGCCTATCTTCTACTTGGTGTCCACCCAGGTTGTCTTCTGCCAAGCTGCTTTCCAGCTGTTCAGCCCCGAGTATGTACTGGTGCCTGGGCTTGCTCCTTCCCAGGAGAAAGAATGTGCGTTTCCTCATATTAAACCGTTTGAGGTTGCTTTCAGCCCGTATCTCCAGCCTGTTGAGGTCCCTCTGGATGGCAGCATAACCCTCTGGTGCATCAACCTTCCCTCCCAGTTTTGTGTCATGAGCAACCTTGCTGAGGATATGGTCTGGCTCTATAATCCTGATCATTAATGAAGATGTTAAACGGGACTAGACCCCATATTGACTCCTGGGGTACACTGCTAGCGGCTGGCCTCCAATTAGACTTCATCCCATGAATCATCCAGTGATTCTTTGTGGTTTTCCATTTGGTGAGATATTTTTCCCCTGTCTTTGGGAATACTAAAAGTAATAGCATTAATTTTAAGGTTTTCTTTCTTTCTAATTGCTAGATTAGGCAACCCTTAGGACAGGATAAGCAATGCTGCTTGTCAGTGGCCTTAGTGTTCCTAGTATGTGATGGTGGCCTAGAGAAATCTGTTCCCTGACAAAGAGCTAAGTAGCAAAGTTCCTAGTATTAGCAGAGAATTTCTGTTTAGTGAATTGTCTTACGGTTAAACTACATACGGTATTAGCAATACAGTATAGCAATTTATTATTATAAGCATTTTTATAGGAAAAAGGTGGATAGTAAAATGTTACTTGTATACTCAGTTAATTTGGTAATACAGTTTATTTTCAGAGTTAAGGTTTATCAGTATAATACTGTAGTGGGTCTGCAATGGAGTAAAATTTCTTCATAGCAGCCTGTGTGTTTTGGATTTGTGACTAAAAGAGTGTTGATAACACACCAGCGTTTTGGCTGTTGCTCAGCGGTGCACAGTATCAAGACTGTCTCTTTTTTCCTCTCTGGATCCCCACCCCTCACCCCTTGAGTTACAGTATGGGGGTGGGCAAGAGACTGGGAGGGCACACAGCTGGGACAGTTGACCCAAACTGGCCAAAAGGATATTCTGTACCACATAATGTCATGTTCAGCAATCACATTTGAGGTAAAGGAAGAAAAAGGGGTGGGTAGGGTGGTGGTGGTTGGCTTCCAGGGTGGCTGTTCAGAGACTGGCTGGGTATTGGTCTGCTTGTGGGGAGGAGAATGACTGGTTTTCACATGGGGTTTTTTTTTGCTTTTTTATCTTCTCTTTACTTCACCTATTAAACTGTCTTTATCTCAACCCATGAGTTTTCTCGCTTTTGCTGAGGAAAATAGGAAGCTATTTTC